AAGCTTGGAAAGAGATGTAACAAAAAAATATTCTTCCACCTTCTCAAACATGCTGAGTAAAATGCTTTTGTGCTGTACAGAAAAAGCGGAGCAAAAATTTCGAAGGGGTTTAATAACGCAACTGATTGTGGTTTGCTACATAGAAAGAGGGTTGTCAAGAGAAAGACCTTCAATACTTCCAAACTCACTTAGGCTTACCGATCGACATTTCCTAGAAGTTGTTTCTGTCACAGGAAAAAAGCTCATCCTACTAGAGTGTGTGTTATGGGCAATAAGGCGAAGGATGTATCCGAAAAAAAGTTGAGGCGATAATCAAAGTAATACTGACCTAAGTGCGATGTGGGACTTTGTGTAAAGCCCTGCTACGAGACGTATCAAACGGAAACTAGCTTTTATTTTCTCTTGTTTGTGTTTATTATTAGAAAAATATAAATACATATATGCATGTTCTTTACGTGGAAAAGCCCAGATGGGAACACGACAAACGAGATCGATTACTTTATCACTGATAAAAGATACATATTTACAGATGTGACAGTGCTAAATAAATTTGCGAAATCAAGCGATCATCGTATGGTGAGAGCCACCATTGTGTTAAATACCAACTATGAACGACACAATATAATAAAAAAGAAGCAAATAAACAGATAGACACATCCAAACAACGAACAAAATTTTGAAGATCATATCGGTAAATTCCTTCAAGAAAAATCATCAACAAATGATATTAACATTCTAAATGACATAATAGTAGAAGCAATAACAGAAGCTTAAAAGAAATGCTGCCCAAAAAGCGTGAAAGAAGAAAAAAATAGTCTGGAAACACAGAAAAAAATGGAACAAAGAAGAATACTGAGAAGCGACGAAAACTCTAGTAACGACGATATAAATAGAATGAACAAGGAAGTATCAAGAGAAATCAGAAAAGACTTAAGAAAATACAAAGATGAGAAAATCATCAAAACCATTGAGGAAATTAAGAGTATGAAAATAATGAGACGCAAACTCACAAATGGAAATAAACAAATGGTCAAACTCAAGGATAGAAATGGCAACATCACATCAAACAGAGAACATTTGTTACAAATTGTGGAATCATTCTATGAGACATTATATAGCAACCAATCGACTCTAGATATAGTCGAATATCAACAGAGGAAGGTTCAAAATCAGGGTTCCGAAGATATTCCAGAAATCTCCTTGAACGAAATTTACAAGGCCCTAAAAAAGATGAAGAATAACAAAGCTCAGGGGGAGGACGGTGTCGTCACTGAAGCGATAAAGATAGGAGACTCAGTAGTGATAGCCAAAATTCAAAAGCTCTTTAATCTATGCCTATGGAATCAAAATATCCCAACAAAGTGGAATAATTCAATAACTGTACTCTTACACAAGAAGGAAGATGTAGCAGACCTGGAAAGATACAGACCAATCAGTCTCCTTAACCATCTTTATAAATTATACACCCGAATAATAACGAATAGATTAGAGACAAAGCTGGATTTTTACCAACCTCGGGAACAAGCTGGTTTCCGCCCTAATTACGGCACAAACGATCACCTGCAGTGCCTAAAAACCCTAATAGAAAAAACTAACGAATATAACCGTCCCTTGGCATTGATATTTGTAGACTTTACAAAGGCGTTTGATACAGTGGAACTACCGTCCATCTTAAGAGCACTACAAGATTGCAGGATCGACCACAGATATTGTAATATAATTAAAAATATATATGAAAATGCCACAACAACCATAAGTCTATATTCTGCAACTAATAAAATAAAGATAAAAAGGGGAGTCAGGCAAGGTGATACCATGTCACCAAAGCTGTTCATTACCGTTCTTGAGTATGCATTTAAAAAACTAACATGGCAACAGAAAGGAATATCCATCGATGGAGAAAGATTAAACCATCTACGTTTTGCGGACGATATCGTGCTTCTGTCAGATAATCTGGGAGAGATCAAAGACATGCGCCAAGAACTGAATGACATACTACAAGAAACTGGGCTGGAGATAAATTTCGAGAAAACCAAAATGATGACCAATATGGTTCCCAGCGAAGAGATACAGATCAATAACAACAAGGTAGAATTAATTAATAAATACACATACTTGGGTCATAAAATTAGAATAACCAGAGACAACCAAACCTGCGATCTAAATAGACGAATCATGTTGGGATGGGCGGCATATGGACGGATGAGAGACATTTTTAAAACAAATATCCCAATTCACCTGAATTCACCTGAAAAGGAAGGCATTTAACCAATGCATCTTACCAGTCTTGACCTACGGAGCAGAGACCTTAACTTTAACGAAAGCTACTGCCGAAAAACTGAGGGTAACACAAAGGCGAATGGAGAGCTCAATGCTGGGCCTGACCTTGAAAGATCGCGTAAGAAATGAGGAGATACGCCGACGAACTGGCGTAGACGATATTATACTGCGAATCAATAAACAAAAGTGGAGGTGGGCTGGACATGTTGCTAGAATGGAAGACGGAAGATGGACGAAGAGATTATTGGAGTGGAGACCAAGAGCCGACAAGCGAAGTCGAGGCAGACCACCCAGCCGATGGACCGACGACCTAAGCAGGATCCATAAACTGGATTGCAGCAGCTAGAGATAGAGAGAACTGGAGACGTTTGGAGGAGGCCTATATTCAACAATGGATGTGAAAATTCGGCTGGATGATGATGTTCTTTACGCTACAATGCAACTGTAAGCTTTTCTAAATAAATACTTTTTCATCATCATCCACAGCGTGCGCAAAAACTGTCTAGTTTGCTGGGAATGGCTTTTAGATGAAAAACAAACATACAATGCTCTAGGCAAGGTAGACAACAAAATCTTGTGCTCGCAAGTTTTATTAACCAACAAAAAACCCGCCAACGGGATATCTCGGGATAGTTATTATACATCTTTTCAACCTTTCAAAAAATTGAACAACAAAGCAAAAATCAACATTGTATAACATTTTTGAATTCTGTAAGAAGTGACGAACCAAGTGCATTAATAAAAAGTAAGTTTTTGGAAAAATATATGGTTCGTTAAGGGTTTAAGTTTATTTTTAGTTGTGCTTCTAAGGGGATATGATTGAATAATACACCAGCACTAGTTTTTTTACTGATTACTGATATAATACTGTTTCTGTTAGAGAAAAATAATCCAGCAATTTCTTATTCAATTATCGAAGCCGCTTAATAAAACGAATAATTTTACAATTACCAGGTTTCTTTTTACCTCACATAGTGCCTAGTGTGTAATTTCGGCAGAATTAGTAAAGCATGGAGGATCCGAACTCTGGGAAAGAATTCATTACCTAATAACATTAATAAGGACGAAGAACAAATGCCAGAGGAATGGACAGTTGACCTCATACAGCCAATATATAAAAAAGTAGATAAGAGGCAATGCCAAAATTATAGGCCAATTACATTGCTAAATGTAATATATAAAATTCTTTCTGGTATATCTACAATAGATTATTAGAATACTCCGAAAATATAATTGGTGATTATCAAAATGGATTCAGACCAAATAAAGCCACTTCAGATAACATATTCATACTAAGAACGATACAAGAAAAAGCTTATGAATACGACATAGACCTATATAATATGTATATAGACTTTAAACAAGCTTTTGATAGTGTGAAAAGAGACAGAATGCTGGAAGACCTTTGTAATCTAGGTATACATAAGAAATACATCAGCCACATAAAAATAACGTTGCAGGGTTCAAAAGCCGCAGTCAGAGTAGATGGAGGACTGACTCCCCTGTTTAACATCAACATGGGAGTAAGACAGGGAGATTCCCTATCAACCATGTTATTCAACCTAGTTCTTGAGGCAGTCATCAGAAAAACCAATATAACCGGCCATATAAACACCAAATCAGTACAAATTACTGCATATGCAGACGATGTAGCCATCATTAGTAGAAATAAGCCACAACTAATGGAAGTGTTCAAACAAATTGATCCTGAAGCAAGAAAAAGAGGTCTCAAAATAAACGAAGCAAAAACGAAGTATATAACAGTCAAAAGAATAACTGACAATGAAAATAATATCACAATGGACAACTATACTATCGAACGAGTGGATACCTTTACAAAGTTACATATCTCGACACAGAAATCAATCAGAAGAACTCCGTAAGTAGCGAAATTAATGCACGTATTTCCAGCGAGAATCGTACATACTATGCTAATAAAAGATTGATGAGATCGAAATTATTAGACAAAAGAACCAAAATGACTATCTGCAGAACACTGATTAGACCAGTAGTCACCTATGAATGTGAAACTTGAGTAATGACGAAAAAAGATGAAGCCCAACTCATGAAAGTATATGGCCCGGTACAAGAGGAAGATGGCACATTAAGAATCAGGAGAAACGACGAGGTTAATGAGTTAAATGAAGGTTATTACATTGTAAGATTTATGAAAAGTCAAAGACTGTCATGGCTGGGACATGTGCAGAGAAAAAACGATGCAAAAACAACAAAGAAAATGTTACAAGGGCAGCCCATAGGAAGGCGAAAAAACGGAAGGCCCAGAACGAGATGGTTGAGGCAAGACAATGGAGAAGAAGGGCACAAGAGAGATGTGAATGAAAGGACATAGCCAGACAGGCAAAGACCCATCCAGGGTTATGATGCCAAAAGAAGAAGAAGAAGTGCCTAGTGAAAAGTTTTTAATTTTATTGTTGGATGCTGCACCTTGACAAAATTAATTTTTTTTATCTGAATTTAATTCATATAGCGTGTTTAACACATAAAATTAATATAATAGCAAAACAAATAAGATGCGAGTTTTCATTAGTAAATGAATTAATTAGTAACGCCAGGAAATTTTTTTCAAAGCACATTTGAAAAGAACAAGTTCTCTTCTTTAATACAATTCATATGAACCATATACTGATTCTTTAATAATAAACCGTTGCTTATCCAGTTTGAAAAAGTCTCCGGTCATGTAATCAATCATTTTTGTATAGATGCTGTTATTAGTGGACAAGGAGAAAAGTACTGGGATGGTAAAGGCATTGAAGGTAAAAACAGGAAACCAGTTTTACTAGAAGTATCATCTCAAAACTCACTATTGAAGAACATCAATCTCCGTAACTGTCCACAAGAATGTGTTAAAATTTTAAAATCTGCAAACAGCACTTTTACTGGCTGGAATATTGATATTACAGACGGATTTAAGGTAAGAAATAACGTTTCATAAGAAATACTTTTATATATTAAAATTTATCGCAAAGCATAGGGGTTCTTTAAATTTATTATATATCATAGTAAAATGTAGAGAACATATTGATTGAGGGTTTTATACAAATAGGGTAAATGCACCAGTTGTAGGCCATGTGCTAGTTATTGGCCTACTAATATGATTTGATTAAAATTAGGAATATGTTGGTATTTTGTTAATTCTAACAACTTTTTTTAAGTTTGGCCACATGTCTCCTAGAGTATGACACATCTAGTTTAAAGGTAACCATTACATTTTAGTCAGTATTTGATGTTGAATGAGACACTGTTCTGTGCTGCTAGTTTGCAACCGAAATTTTGTTATTTACCTACAGAAACTTGTGTTGATCAGTAAGTACTATATACTGCCATTTACTTTCTACTTTATACTTTATGTTTTTGTGAGAATATAGTGTATGTCTTGTTTCAAACTGCATAACAAATACAATGTTATTTATACAAATAACGTAAATTTTAAGGTGGTCAACTACTAATGCATGAAATTAACAAGTGAAACATTTAATGAAACATTAAATTTTGTAATAATCTCGTGATTGACATACGTTAATAACTAGTGTTTTATGTGTGGCCAATAACTAATTATTATAAATTGTTTTAGAAAATATGGCAAAACGATCTAAAACTGAAAACAATTATAAAAAAAAGTATTCCGAAGACGATGTTAAAAAATCGTTAATTAAAAATGGTATGAGTGAGCGAAAAGCCTCAAGAATGTTTATTATACCCAGAGCCACCATAAGTTACCAGAAAAGTGAAAAAGTTCATTACAAGATAACGTATGGACTAGATTCATTTCTTTCGAAGGATGAAGAGGAACAACTGAAACTCTGGATTTTTCATTGTCAAAATAGAGGATTTCCTGTTCGTGTTGAAGACATTAAGGACTCAGTTATATCATTTTTAGAGAGTAACCCTAGAGTTAATCCATTTGTTGAAAATAGACCAGGTAGAAGATGGCTATCAGCATTTCTAAAGCGCAATCCCAATATTTCGCTAAGGAATTCAGAGGGAGTGACATCAGGAAGTTCAAACATTAACCAAAGGGATATATTACCAAATGATTTGACAATATAATATCTTATCTAGATAAAAAAGGACTTTCAGACGTTCTTAAAGACCCAACAACATTATGTTCACATTTTCTGCAATAGGCAATATTTTACCTCCTATGATTATTCATCCCCATAAAGGATTGCCAAATGATATACTAATCGAAATAATATTACACGTCCAGTAAAACTGTTTGTTGATGGGCATAAAACCCATTTAACTGTACATACAAGTCAACTTTTTACAGATTTGAAAATTATTTTAGTAGCCGTATATCCTAATGCCACGAGATTAATGCAACCAGCGGATGTGGCTGCATTTAAGCCTCTAAAAACTTTTTGCAACTGTGCTGGAGCTGTGCTTCGGTTTAAAAAAGACAACCCCCAAAAATTGTTAACGAAAGTACAGTTTGTCCCTGTTTTAAAATTAGCTGTAAAATATAAAATATAAAAGAAAGGTCTAGGTTTAGAAAATGTTTTGGGAAAGAATATGAAACAAGATAATCTGGATGAGCACAATGATTTACGAACACTTAAAATAGTTGGCAATGACAATATTAATGTAAATAAATAAATTAGGTCGAAATAATTGTAAAACTCAATCTAATGATTACTAAATATTGAAAAAAATCTTTTCAGTATTTACAGAAAAATCCTGGGTAGAAATTTCTACAAACGACGAACAAGAAAATATTCTAGACGAAGAAATAAAATGTTTAGACACAAGTGAAGTAATTTTCGGTATAAATGATATACCTGTAATAATAGATGATACTGAAGTTATAAACTTTCTGAAATCGAGAACGAAATCTTGATGGTACCTGAGAATGAAACTTTCAACATGCAAGGAATAGAAGAATATACAAATCAAGCTGAAACAAGTTAAGAAAACGGTTGAAGAAGGTCAAAAAAACCAAAAACCCGAGAAATTTCTAAACATTTCTAAAAATATATCTATAAATATTGCAAATAAATCTATTGCGACTTACTTAATATGGCCAGATGTTCCAGCACAATTAGGAAAGGAGCAAACTCAAAAGCTTCCATTTTTTCCATCTTCATCAGATAGAAAAAAAATATAAAAAGAAAAAACGGAAAAAAAATTAGAAGAGGAGCGTAAAAAAGCAACAGAGGAAACTTGAAAGAAAGGAAAAATAGAGTATTAAGGAAAATCAAAAGAAAATAAAAAGTTCGAATAATAAAAATCCCAACAAATTTGGCTTAAACTTTTGAGTCTGAAGAGAAAAGTAGACAACCCATAGAAATGGTCTCAACAAAATTAAAAAAAGGTGTAAAAGTTCACATTCCTATTGAAAAATATCAAAATAAGACAAAAAAGCATTGAAAGTTGTTTCTCCTCTAAACCACCAAAGTAGAAGTAACAATATTGAGGTTTTTGAGCCACCACTATCTGAATTTGTCAAAGTTTCTACACCAGAATCTTATTCTCATACAAAATCATCAAGCTTTGTAAATAACCAAGATAATATTGACATTTTCAAGTATTCACCTACACCAGAAGCGAATTTGAGATTATCTTCGAAAATATTTCTCGCCCACACTAAATCTCCAAGCCCTGAGAAAAAATTGTACCCAAACGGAAATTATTTGATGATAATACAGATCAGTCCTCAATTAAAATTACAATTCTGTCTGATAATTGTGTACTAAATGTTACAGAGTGTAAAGAAGGCAATAGATGCCAAATGTATCTTAGAATATATCATGTAACTTGCATTTGCATAACATGGTTCTATGGCGACACAGATCAAGTATATGTTTGCAAAACTTGATAAAATAAAAAATAAAAGTTTACTTTGACAGGTGTTTTTTTTGTGTCTACACTCATCACAAAATCCTTGCTTACCCAAAGACCAACCTATCTATCTATTTAAACTTACAAATTATTTGGTAAAATATCTCTTCAAAAAACGATGGCCAATCACTAATACATATGGTGTCAATAATTGGAACAAGGTGGCCAATAACTAGTTCATTTGAACGTTTACAAAAGAACACATATAAAATAATTTCACACATGAAATATTAACGTAATAAAATTTTGGAATATGTAGAAATAATAATAAAATTCCATCCATGGTGTTAAAAATAGTTATAATAGGCCACAGTGACAAAACATTTCATAGATATATCGACGTGCTCTCCTTAAAAGGCCCTTAACTGGTGCTTTTACCCTACTCTGTGAAATCCTCAACATTGGACCAAACCAAACTGGACAAATGAAAAAAAAAACATAACTTACGACATAAATGATATCAAATAACTTTTTAAAAACAAAACAGTAATGTCATATTACGACGATATATAATGTAGATCTGAATGCCATTGAGATTCATTTGTGTTGAAATAATAGAGCATTTCTCCCTAAACATAGATATTTCAGGTTAATCGTTAATTAGTAAGGTAAAAAAATATAACCAACAAACTCAGTGTTCTTCTTTAAGTGCCATGTCCCAATCAGAGGTTCGATATCATCATCACTGTCTTTGCTTTATCTACTGCTGCTCTAAAGAGTTGTATAGAACTGCATTTAAACCAATCCCTTAAAATATTCCACCATGATACTCTCCTTCTTCCTCTACTCCTTCCTCCTCTTTTCTTTCCCTGTATTATCAGCCTCAGCAGTTCATATCGCTGTCCCCTCATTATGTGTCCCAGATATTGCAACTTTCTTATTTTTATTGTGTTTATTATTTCGCATTCTTTGCCCATTTCTCGCAATACTTTCGTGTTAGTTTTCTTCTGTGTCCATGCTATTCTAAGCATCTTTCTGTAACACCACATTTTAAAGGACTGTAACTTGCTTCTGTGTTCCTGTTTCAACGTCCAGCAAGTCCATATTGCAGTATCGAAAACACGTAGCATCTCAGTGCTCTTACTCTCAGTTCTAATCAAAGATCTTTGTTGCAGAGAATAGTTTTCATTTTTACAAACGCATTTCTTGCTATTTCTATACTAGCTCTTATTTCGGTTGTTTGATCATTATTGTCTAAAATCCAGGTTCCTAGGTATTTGTATTTATCAACACTTTCTATCGGTACATTTCCCAAATATATGTTTGTTGGTATATTTGTTTTCTTTGTTATTATCATGTATTTGGTCTTTTTTATATTCATTTAAGTCCATATTTTTCACAAAAACTGTTTGTTTTGTTTAGCACGAATTGGAGTTGTTCAACAGGCTTGCCATAAACACGGTGTCATCTGCATATCTTATGTTGTTTATAGATCTTTCGTTAATTATTATTCCTCCATTTTGAGATAGTAATGCTTCTTCAAAACTGGCTTCACTATATAAATTAAATAGTAATGGGGACATAATTCATCCCTGCCTAACTCCTCCCCTGATTTCAATTGCTGGACTGGGTTCGTTATTTATTATGATTTGTGCCAATTGTTTCCAGTAGAGGTTTGTTATTATTCGTAATAAAATCAGTGTTGTGTAACCACAACTTTCACCTAAACTTACGTCATTACGAATGAGTAATATATTAGTAATATATAATAAGCCAATTTCTTGGCTTATTTCAGATGCCCCTGAAGATGATCCAGTGATCGAAAGTACTTGGGCAAGATTAAATTAATAATGTGCTCGATATTTGCCTTGTATATTATCAAAGTTCATTTATTCAAGCATTCAACCTTATATCAATACAATATTTAGCTTTAACTAGGTTTAATTAAATTAGTTTTTTGTCGATAACTCAAAATCATATATTTTGGATTTAATACGTTTTGCTTAGTTGCTCCTCAACTATTAGCTGAAGACCATGACGAACTCAATGTATTTTCCAACCTTAGAGAAACCTAATATGGCACCAAAAGAAGAAGAAGTAATCTTTAATATATTTGATATATTCGACATAGTTTTGTTCATAAATTCCAATTTTCTTAGCCTCATTGGTAATTGTTTCATTTTAAACATCGTATTTTTACTTTATTACTGGCATTCTTAACTTAAAATTTCATACTGATATTTTAATTAACTTTAGGATAATCTTGGAGTAGATACTCATGGTTTTGCAGTAGCAAACTCTTCGGATATTATTATTAAAGACTCAAATATAATCAACCAAGGTGACTGTATAGTCGTAAATCAAGGTTCTGATTTACACTTTGAAAAAATAGCTTGTAGAGGGTCTCAAGGATTAACAGTTCATCCAGAATGGGTATATGAAAATTATATACGAGATGTTATATTTGAAGATTGCAGTGTCGTCGAAGGACAAACGGGTATTAGAGTGGTTACATCACCTCATCAAGCCGAGGGAAACATTTCAAATGTTATTTACAAGAAGATCCACTTAACAGGTAAGAAATATTTAATCTCGTCTGTATATGGAATTTCATTTTTTGCATTGACTTGTAATGAGCCCTATTTGGGAGGTTACTTACATATGATGTAAATGGCATATATTTTGTTTATCTACATTAAAGGTACCATTCCGCAACACGCTACCGAGACAGGAGACCGAGACAGGCGACAGATAGGCGAGATCGATTGTGGTCACAAGGATCTACAGACCGAGAGTTTGGTACAAATTCCACGGCTTCGCGCAATGCGATCGTACTTGTAAGTTCGTGAACTAGTCGACTGGAGTTACAATTTGCCAAATTTAAATGTAATCGTTTCTACTCATTCATATTAATATTATAATGTATAATATATTAAAGGTTTTAATATTGGTAATATTATTAAAGCTTTTAATATTATTTTTTAATATTAATAATAATATTAAGTAATTAAATATTGCGCCTTGCTTAAAAAAAGTACGAGATAAATAACTCGTTTTTTTATATGAAGGTGCAATTTTCTTGCAAATGCTTGGTTTTTTTGATAAGATAATACAAATTGTATGAAGAGTAGCTAAGCGTTGGGTAGTCACTGGCGAATCTACGAGGAGGGAAAAAGGATTTTCTGAATTTGTCAATACTTTGACTGAACATACAACCAAGAGAGGATGGAATGTTGTCAGACCATTAACAATATTGAAATATAACCAGTACGTGACAGGAAACGATGTAAAATATGTTGTCTGGATTAAATTTGAAAAAACACAATTTACGAGTGTGCTAATTGTGACAAAAAAGCCTGGACTATGCATAGGATATTGTTTTCGCAAATACCATTCAAACAACAGATATATTGCATTCAGTATATTAGTTTAAATAAAAGTTTTATTTTCTAAAGACCTTTTAATTGTTAGCTGATGTCCCACTACCAATTTCTAATTTGAAAATATAAATATCTTAAAAACTTCCAGAAATGTTAGGGATAATAAATTGAAATCCTTTAACAAAAGGCTATAGTTATAATTTGAATAAGCTGGTTTTGCCCATACTGACTTTCTAATTACCTACTAATTTGCATAACAGCCAGATATTGTACTTGGTCACAATGCTGTTTAATATTAGGATTTTCATTTCGCTTGTTGAAACTCCATCCGATATTAATTTCTTGGAAATTTTTACAAGGCTGAGAGTACTAAATCGGAATACTCGAGTATTGTTGAAAAAAATTGAAATTGAAGGTACTACACAATCGAAGAGCTCAAAAAAATTAAACATTTCCGGTATTCTTTTTCCAAATCGTATTTTGTTTTCGAGATAAATTTAAATTTGAGAATTTTTTATTATTTTTCCACTTTTTTTATGTTCTTTTTTAATTTAATTTCAGTGTATAAAAGCCTTTACAATATTATCCAAATTTTATTTGGAAGTTTTAATCCTAAGTGTTCAGAAACAATTTTCTAGGAAATGACAATTTGTTTTTTTCCTTAGTTACAGTTATAGTTATAGTTAAAATATAAGGAATACGCTCACGTCTCGGATCTGAGTCTTCTTCTTTTCGCATAAAATATTACAAATTTATTTAAAATACCCTTTATTTAATATATACTTTATTTATTCATCACAATTTAAAAAAAAATACTAGTTAGCACAGCGGTTGATTTCCATGAAAATGCGCTAAGCAGTGATAATGATTGCATATACCTAAGTTAATATTTTTGTCTTTTGGTTGGTGTTATATTGGAAATTTCCCCTCTCAAGGCAAATGTCTAGAAGACCTAAGACACGAAAAGGATAAAATTAATTCTATTCTTTTATGGAAGGTTTTTTAAAATGGTAATTATAAAATATTTTGTTATTAATACAAGTAATTTTTTTATTATTTACTGAGCGTTTAGAATGTCGACTAAGCAATTTTATAAACTATTTGGAAAATAACATTTCAAACAAGATTCTGTTTTTTTATTTTTTCTCAAAAAATAAAACGAAACTAGTTTAAAACCTATACTTATATTGACATATAAATCAACAACCATTAGCTTTAATAATATTACCAATATTAAAAACTTTAATATATTATACTTTATAATATTAATATGAATGAGTAGAAACGATTACATTTAAATTTGGCAAATTGTAACTCCAGTCGACTAATTTACGAACTTAAAAGTATGATTGCGCGAAGCCGTGGAATTTGTACCAAACTCTCGGTCTGTAGATCCTTGTATTGTGGTCTCTCCACGTCTGTTCTCAATGCAATTATATCAGAGCCATTCCGTAGGCCGCGACCGAGACAAGCGACAAACGATTGTCGCTTGTCTGTGTCTCCTCGATCTCCTACCAGAGCAGTAATGAAGTGTGTCGTCCTGCAACACTTCTGATTTGGCGCTGATTTGTATATGCATTTTTGTTAAAAATAATATCCGAAATAAAATTTAGTGCTGAGGAAGATGAATTGCTAATAGAGTTATTATCTAAGAGTCGGTGCCTCCAATATTTCTTCCGAAAGTCTTATGTCAACTGAAGAGGCAGAAATCCCCTTTGTTAGTGAAGAAAATCTAGATACGTCGATCCAACCGGCTCCGGAGGCAGCCAAATCTACACATCCGCCAGCTAAAAAACGAAAGAAAGTCGAAGATGATTTTTTGACATCTCAAGAAACGAGATGACCAGAGACAAATATTTTTGAAATTGAACCAGCCTTTTCAAGTACAGGCAAGGAGCGAAATATTTAACATTTTGACAAAATATGAACTAATGCAAATGGATATGGAAAGCAGTATTCAAACAGCTCTCCCGACATCAGACGAACATATTTATGCTTCATCCGTCGTTTTTCCCTCTGGATCAGCCTCTGGAACCAATAGTAGTACGCCTGCTTCACAACATGATGGAGACTATTTTAATTCCCTTTTTTTATTATAAAATTAATTAATATTTTTTTTATTATTAAGATATAAAACTTACCTTAAAGTTAAAGATAATTTTTCTTTTGATGTTATGTCGCCTTTCGTTTGTATGTCCTTCTCTATTTAATTGTTTATATAATCGAACTGTGTTTAATTCAGTCTAAAATAACCTCTAAATTTTTCTTCATCTAATGATAAATAATTCATTATTAATAAATTAAAAAAGCCTTTCTCGCGCCTTGTTTTAAATATAGAATTTATACAACTCCGTTTTTTTACTCGAAAGATGTAATATAGAAGTATGTCGCCATCTTCTTCTTCTTCCATTAACCTTTTAAAAAGTAGTTTCAACGTCATTATACCTTCTTTTTAGCCGCACGTTTCTCGTATGTCGCTTGTCTCGGTCGCGTACCCAGTTCAAGGGGCGACAGTTCACTTGGTGTCGCGGTCTCGCCTATCTGTCGCCTGTCTCTGTCTCCTGTCTCGGTCGCATGATGCGGAATGCTACCTTAAGGATAAGCTTATTAAACTAAAACCATTTCTAAATTGTAGCAAAGTTTCGCCTTTTTGTTTTAAATTACACCATGTATTTGCATCATAGACAATAGTTATATCATAATAGTCTCATCTGCAAAGCTTATTATCTAACTGTAATATTCCATCTGAATAGATCATTTATGTAGGTATTGAGAAGAATTCATAGGCTATATTCTTCCCTTAATCATTTCTTTTTTTTTACGCACAACAGGCCGTTAAGGCCTAGGGCATATTTTTTAAACATAATTCTAATATTAACTAAATACAATTATTTTAAACAAAACTTTAACTTAAATATATGTATACAACATTCTTAACTACTCTGAAGGACCTGGTGGACAATATTTCTCCATTCGCTTCTATTTTGTGCTTTTCTTTTCCAGTCCCTCACCTTTACGTGTTTAAGGTCTTCCTCCACTTTACTAATCCACCTCGTTCTGGGTCTACCTCTTCTTTTGGGGCCGATCAGTTTTCTGGTTATTACTAGTTTGAGCATTCTATTTGCTTCTATTCTTTCCACATGTCCCAACCATCTGATTCTTTGTGACTTACTTGGCGAACTTGGTAATGGTAGGTTCTTTATATAAAGCCATTAATTCATTGTTGGTTCTTCTCTCCCAATAATCATCTGTCTTCCGTCCTCCGAATATGCGTCTCAGTATTTTCCTTTCCAATCTTTCCAGAGTATCCTCTTCCTTCTTATTTAATATCCATGTCTCACAGACATATGATACTGTGGGTCGAATTACTGTTTTATATATTCTGACTTTACCTTGTCTAGAAACGTATTTTGAGTTCAGTAGGGCTCTTAAACTGCCTAATTTTTTATTCCCTTTTGCTATTCTGGGTACCACCTCCCATTTCTCCTTTCCATTTTCATCGAAAACTACACCCAAGTATTCAAATTTGTACACCCTTTTAAAACTATACCTTTTACCACTTACATACCTCACACTAATGTCTTCTTTTTCCCCTTCTGTTCCTCCCGTGATCATATATTTGGTTTTGTTTTCATTTAGTTCCGATCCGAATTTTTGTGCTTCTTCGATGATTTTCTTCACAACTCTTCTTAATTCTTTCTCGGTTTTTGCTAGGATCGTTAAATCATCAGCAAACGCCAAGCACTGGTGCTCATTTTTCATGATTGTTTCTTCCACCTTCACGTTGCTTTTTCTGATTACAGTTTCTAACACTAAGTTAGTTAGTTAGTTAGTTAGTTAAGAATAATGTAGTGGATAAAAGATATCCCTGTCTCAAGCCTTTTGCAACCGTAAATTGATCTGATATGTGACCCTGCCAAGCAATTTCACACTTAGAGTTATTTAATGTCATTTTTACTAGCCGGATCAGTTTCTTTGGTATATCTAAATATTCCATTGCTCGACACATACTCTATCGACTCTATCATATTCTTTTCTAAAATCCACAAACAAAATATGCAGGGGAACTTTACCTTTTACAAGTCGTTTGTATCTCCTTTAATGAGAAGATTTGGTCTACAGTAGATCTCTCCTTTCTAAAGCCATCCTGATACTCATGTAAGATTCTTTCCGTGTAGCCATTTAGTTTATTTCTCAATATTCTTGCCAAGATTTTGTATACCGTGTCTAGTAAGGCTATACCTCTATAGTTGTCACATTTTAGTTTGTTTACTTTTTTAGGCAGAGGGCATATGCGGGCTTCCTACCACTCCGATGACATTATTTCCCTTTGCCCATACTTGCACTAGTAGCTGATATATTTTTCTTTGTAGTTGTTCTCCACCAAACTTGATCATTTCTATGCATATGTCATTTTTACCAGGACTTCTGCTATTTTTCATTTCATGTATTGCTGTCACCACCTCCTCCTCTGTAGGCTGCCTTTCAACTATCGCATCTTCTCCAACCGTCCAGTTGTCTACTGCTTCGTGGTCCACCTCACCATTTAATAGTTTTTCAAAATGTTTTTTCCATTCCGTCATTATTTCTGCCGAATCACTAATTAAATTTCCGTCTTTACCTTTCATATAACTACAGTGGCTTTGGTAACCTTTTCCCATCTTTCTAATTTCTTGATAGAACGACCTCATCTCTTTGTTTTTAAACTTCTCTTCTATTTTTTTTAATTTCAACTCATTGTGGTATCTCTTTTTCCTTTTACAGAGAGCTTTCAATCTTCCTCGAAATATTCGATATTCTTGTTTTTACACTCTCTATTATCTGTTAATATTTGCTGCCTGATCTTTGTTTGTACCTACTTCTATTGGAGTCGTACTTTACTATTTTCTTGCTAGCTTCTCCTACAGCAGATTTAATTTGTTCCCAGACTTGATCTGTCTATAAATTTTGGTCACATTGTTGTAGAATTTTATTTATTTCTTTCTGAATAATAGTCAGATTCTGATTTCACGATCTGTTAAAATAAATTTAATAATAATTACTACATAAAATTACACTCACAACCGTAGTTTTCAGCCAATGTTTAAAATTTCGAATATTGTTCAAACGATTTCATTTTAAATACAACATTCGTAGATACTCGAAAGAATCGTTTATATTAACCAGCGCTTTTAACTTGTAAAAATCTATGAGCAATAAAATAAGGCGGAGTTAAAAGTACCATCGATAAGGAACTGTCAAAAAAAATCTAAACGACGTAATACTAAGCGTAAATAATGTTATAAAAATAAAAAAAAATTCATCTAAATGTTATCTTTTGACTTTTTTTATTCTAGGAATACTGTTTAGAGGCATCGATATTCACCAAGATCTTGATGACGAAGGAAGACCCAGTGGAAACGTTAAAATTACTGAACTAGATATTTCAGATGTTAAAGGAAATATGACAGACAAATATGTTAGAGCTGTTTATATATGGTGTGGTTCAGACGGATGTGCGAATTGGAATTGGTCAGATATTGATATAGAAAATGCAGAAGTTGAGAATGCTTGTAATTTTTTGCCAAATAATTGGACCTGTTGGTAAAAGTATAGCCAGATAACAAAATTATATTATATTGAGAATCTTAGTTGTGTTTTGGTTTTTGATTGAAGTTGAAGTAATTTCTTCTTTAATCTTCATCCTACATAAAGGAATTGTGACGCTTTATAATGTACCAAAGCAGTTACAGCTGAGCCAATTAGCACCCAAAAATATAACTATGCTTCAATGCTGTTGGCTGGAACGAGTAGCTTAACAGAACTGTTGCCTGTCTCTCCGACTCCTCGTCCTTTATCATTTATCCTTCAAAATAATGGTGTGTACCTTTATGGTATTCGATTTATGATTGTTATTCATTGGGGTGGCCAATAATAATTTAAAAATGATTTTTAATTTTAAATCTTTCATTGTGATGGATTAAGAACCGTGAACTAAACACAAACAAAGGTAGGGACCGACTACTTTGATCAGTTGGTTTCCTGTAATATGAATATACCCATTCATAAATACACTTGGGAACGACCTTCACTCCAACAGAAGTCGATCATAGACTATATAATAATGAGACAGAACTCAAAATTTAAGTGCCAAGACTGCAGAGTAAAAAGAGGTTCTAACTGTGGGACAGACCATTACTTTCTTTTAGCTAATATTTTGTACCCCTTTAAACAAAACAACAAACATAGCACCGAAAGTCAGAGAAACAATACTACGCAGTACAAAACGGAGAGATATAAATTGCATAGTTTATTCCAACCAAGCATTAAACATCTTTTTCAATGTAGATTAGAAAGGGAACTAAATGAGATGGAAAGAAATATGGATGTAGAACAAGAATACAATAACCTCAAAATGATAATAAAAAAAATTGCTTATGAAGTATTAGGAACAGAGAACAACGACAAAAAACACCACGAACCACCATGGATGACAGAAAACGTAAAAGAAATGATACAAGAAAAGAACAAATTATATAAAAAATGGCTAACAAATAAAACATCTAGCAAAGCACGTGGTGTTCGTGTGTATTAAGGTATAAAAAAGCGCTTATTAAAAGCTTAAAATTTTTTATTATAAAGAAGATCTTTTCGGAATTGTATCATTCCATTATCAGTTTACTAAAAGAGAGAGTTAAAATACCAATATTAAAAACAACAAAGTTAAAATTTGAATATACAAAAAGAAAAAGTTGGTTTTTTACTACTTACATAAAAAGTTGTTAAAAAACATTGTGTGGCCACATAAAAACATTGGATGGACATCTGGATTTAAAAAATAATCTTCATGTTATTTATTCAGGTAAATGCAATAGACTTTTGACTTGTGTAATATTAAAAAATGAAACTGGGGGCATCTTATATGACCCCCTGTAGTTGGTGAGGTTTTATTGATTTACATTACCTCTGATCTGTGTTGGAGTCTAGGGCTAACTGATAGAAAGATGGTATGAAAAATCAGTTAGTACCCGTCAATGTCAAGAGGAATGATGTGGTAGGAGCAAAGTCATTGTGCTTAAGTTTGTGAGTAGGCAGTTTTTAGTGAAGAAATGTGTTTTGTGTGTAGTAGGATCATTAGCAATTTTTGGTACTAGTACTACCTACTACAACAAAACACATTTCTTCACTAAAAACTGCCTACTCACAAACTTAAGCACAATGACTTTGCTCCTACCACATCATTCCTCTTGACATTGACGGGTACTAACTGATTTTTCATACCATCTTTCTATCAGTTAGCCCTAGACTCGAACACAGATCAGAGGTAATGTAAGTCAATAAAACCTCACCAACTACAGGGGGTCATATAAGATGCCCCCAGTTTCATTTTTTAATATTACACAAGTCAAAAGTCTATTGCATTTACCTGAATAAATAACATGAAGATTATTTTTTAAATCCAGATGTCCATCGAATGTTTTTTATGTGGCCACACAATGTTTTTTAACAACTTTTTATGTAAGTAGTAAAAAACCAACTTTTTCTTTTTGTATATTCAAATTTTAACTTTGTTGTTTTTAATATTGGTATTTGTAGTCTCTCTTTTAGTAAACTGATGATGGAATGATACAATTCCGAAAAGATCTTCTTTATAATAAAAAATTTTAAGCTTTTAATAAGCGCTTTTTTATACCTTAATACACACGAACACCACGTGCTTTGTATTCAACAGGTATACTAGCCACTCCTGGATATCTCCACTTCATGGTTTGTTCCAGTTTCACTTTTAAAAACATCTAGCAATAGAGTATCATATCAAATGAAAAACGGAGAAGTACGCCAGCAAATAAAAGAAGCAAAAAACAATTTCTGGGAACAAAAATGTGTCCAAGTTGAAAATTTAATGGGTGGTTCTCAGACAACGGAAGCATGGAGAACTATCACTAACCTAAAGAAGAACACCCATAACTCATTAAGCAACTTAATTTCTATAGAAAAATGGGAAAATCACTATAAAAATTTACTCCAAGAGTCCAGATTGGAATATATGGGAGAAGAATGCAGTATGGAGAGACAAACAAATAGTAACATTAATACTACCAGCAACGAGGTCCGTACTGCGCTAATTAAAATGAAAAACGGACGATCTTCAGGACCTGGCAATATAGCTGTAGAGCTACTTAAAGCAGGAGGTCCACTCCTAATCGAACGAATAACTTTTCTAATGAATCAATGCTGCCAACAAATTAAAATACCATCGGAATGGAAAATCGCTTACCAAGTGTCCATCTTTAAAAAGTGTAATCGAAAAGATCCTAACTGCTACAGAGGATTGAGTGTCCTACCTACTTTCGGCAGATTGTTTGGAAAGATAATGAATAGAAAAATACAAGATGATGTAGGACATCTAATTAGCGAAGACCAAAGCGGATTTACGCCTGGAAGAACTTGCACTGATAACTTGTTTATACTCCAACAATTAATAGAAAAAAGAATAGCAGTTGGTAACGAAGTACATCTAGCCTTCATCGATCTATAAAAAGCGTATGATACAGTACCAAGGCCTAAATTGTGGCAAGCTTTACAACAACTCGGCATTAGTCCACACCTTTTAGGAATAATCACAGAAGTATACAGGGATAACACCACTTACCTAAAAATCGGAAATAGACTATCAGAGCCGATAAAAGTAACTAAAGGACTGAGATAAGGATACAGTATGTCACCTTTACTGTTTAATTTATATATTGAGGCAGCCCTTCAAAATTGGAAAAACCACTGCCAAGGAATGGGAATCCCAATAGGAAATGACGTACTGTTCTCCCTGAACTTTGCGGATGACCATGTCGTTCTAGCTCAAGATTTTTATGATCTAGAATTTATGATAAAGCGTCTATACAGAGAATATGTAAAATGGGGGTTAAAAGTCAGCATGAAGAAAACGGAATATCTAGTTATCAATTCAGATGCAAGGTTTGAAGTGTTGATAGACGAGGACGTGGAAATCACACAAGTGGAAAAATTTAAATATTTAGGTGCATTCATTGATAAGAACGGCTTGGGTGAAACCGAAATTAAACACCGAATTAATCAGGGACGTAAAATTTTAGGATGGTTGAACTCCTTATGGTGGGATCGCAGAATTTCCAAAAGGAACAAAAAAAGAATAGGGCAAACGATGGTTGAATCAGTACTTTGTTATGGATCTGAAGTATGGACAATTAATGCAGACCTGAAAAGAAGATTGTTGGCAGTTGAAATGGATTATTTGAGAAGAAGTGCTAGAACATCAAGGCTGGAAAGGAAAACCAACGAATCTATAAGAAATCAGATGAATGCTACAGATACGGTCATAGACAGAATAGAAAGAAGAGGTTTGAAATGGTTTGGACACCTGTTAAGAATGCCTGACGAACGTTGGCACCAAAAACTTCACAGATGAAAGCCCCCTGGTAGAAGAAAAAGAGGTAGACCTCGACGCTCATGGAATGAAGGTATTAGAAGAGCAATGGAATCGAGAGGTTTAGAGGAGGAGCATGCCTTGGACCGAGAGGATTGGCGGAGGAGGACGGGAATACGGCGATAGCCGTCTCCAAGATGTATTCTATGTACAAATTGGATCCTGTATATATATATATATATATATATATATATATATATATATATATATATATATATATAGAGTGTGTATATAACGACGCTAAGAATACAATTCTTTGGAGGGTAACTTTCGGGAAAGCGTCAAAACAAGGATCAGCTAAAGATGGTATAAGCCAGTTTCGTGTAGAACTTTATTCGAAATGTGAAATTTTCGGTGATATGTTGTCACCTTCATCAGCACCTAAATGGAAAACCTATTTCAGTACAAGTGGTGGAAATCAACATTTAAAACCTACATTGAAAATGTTCAGTTAGTCCTAGTGGTGAAGAACACTGTCACAAACGTGTTAAAAATATTAAAAAATACATTTAAAATTTTGAATAAAAACATTACAACACAACACATATATATATATATATATATATATATATATATATATATATATATATATATATATATATATATATATATATATATGAATGTACCCCTTTATTCGGAGTTAAAGGGGTAAGTATACAGAGGTAAACAAAAACACATCTATTTTCATAGCTGAGTCAATAGCAATTCTAAAAGCACTAGAATATTGATGAGTCTTGATTAATTCTAATTTATTGTTTTTATTATTTTAATTTACTAAAGGTTCAATATTTATAACAATCACGAATTTATCAAAGTCTTTATTTATTTTACACTTAATAATTACTACAAATAATTTATTTGCATGCGATACAATTTTAAACCGATACCCGCGATCATTTGGCTGTAGTTTCTTGAGAATATATTTAATAAACGTTTAATATTTTTTCTAGTTAATTTATTATTATTTTTTAAGTGATGATAATAATGTTGAATAAGCAATATTTCAAATGATATATAATCACAAGACGTACTTAATATTGTGTTATATAATATAATCCTCATAATAAAGTACGTTAGATAAAAAATATCGTAATATTCATATTATAATTAAAAAATATCATTCATCAAAAAGACAATCCAATATCATCAAAAATATAATTCAAAAATAACATAATATTCTATTATTCCTA